TGTTCTTTGAAAGGAAAAATGAAATCGATCACGTGATCGATTATGTGGGTTAAAAGTGATTATGGAAGAATTTGGGTAGAAGTGTAGGGAAAAAATTATGCGAAATTTTTATCGGTTGTGGCATGTAGTTGACCATGTGCATTTTTCCCAACACTGAAGGCTCCTGCGTAATTTTAGTAATTTTATAAACGAGAAAGTGAAATCGATCACGTGATCGATTAGGTAATAAGGTGTCGTGGCATAAGGACGCGGAAGGGAGGAAGCAGCCGAAAGTGGAAGATCGATTTTCGTTACCTATTGGTAGGTTGTAGGATATGGAATAGGTCTATGATGATAACAGTGCGGGAGTAGGAATATATGTAATCGCTTTCCTCAGCAGCTGAGCTCAGGAGTTTCCTATACAGTGTTGGAGTAGGAATATATGTAATCGCTTTCCTCAGCACCTGAGCTCAGGAGTTTCCTATACAGTGTTGGAGTAGGAATATATGTAATCGCTTTCCTCAGCTGCTGAGCTCAGGAGTTTCCTATACAGTGTTGGAGTAGGAATATATGTAATCGCTTTCCTCAGCTGCTGAGCTCAGGAGTTTCCTATACAGTGTTGGAGTAGGAATATATGTAATCGCTTTCCTCAGCTGCTGAGCTCAGGAGTTTCCTATACAGTGTTGGAGTAGGAATATATGTAATCGCTTTCCTCAGCACCTGAGCTCAGGAGTTTCCTATACAGTGTTGGAGTAGGAATATATGTAATCGCTTTCCTCAGCAGCTGAGCTCAGGAGTTTCCTATACAGTGTTGGAGTAGGAATATATGTAATCGCTTTCCTCAGCACCTGAGCTCAGGAGTTTACTATACAGTGTTGGAGTAGGAATATATGTAATCGCTTTCCTCAGCACCTGAGCTCAGGAGTTTCCTATACAGTGTTGGAGTAGGAATATATGTAATCGCTTTCCTCAGCACCTGAGCTCAGGAGTTTCCTATACAGTGTTGGAGTAGGAATATATGTATTCGCTTTCCTCAGCACCTGAGCTCAGGAGTTTCCTATACAGTGTTGGAGTAGGAATATATGTAATCGCTTTCCTCAGCACCTGAGCTCAGGAGTTTCCTATACAGTGTTGGAGTAGGAATATATGTAATCGCTTTCCTCAGCACCTGAGCTCAGGAGTTTCCTATACAGTGTTGGAGTAGGAATATATGTAATCGCTTTCCTCAGCACCTGAGCTCAGGAGTTTACTATACAGTGTTGGAGTAGGAATATATGTAATCGCTTTCCTCAGCACCTGAGCTCAGGAGTTTCCAAAGTTGATTATACGAATTGGGGTTTTCACGAGAGTTTCCTGAAAATTTTCCTATTGTCATGGTCATCATCATCAACACATGTAGTTGATGATGATAATCATGTGCATATTCCCGCGTCACTGTAAAGGTACGATCGAATTCGAGTATACTCGTAAGGAGGTTGATCCTAAAGAATTGGAGAAAATTCGGCAGATGGAAGAAGATAGGTTTGAGCAGGCAGACAGGGAGTTTAGGGAGAGACTACAGTAAGAAACGTTTATCTGTTGGACCTATTTCGTATCTTCATCTGTTGGACCTATTTCGTATCTTTATCTGTTGGACCTATTTCGTATCTTTATCTGTTGGACCTATTTCGTATCTTTATCTGTTGGACCTATTTCGTATCTTTATCTGTTGGACCTATTTCGTATCTTTATCTGTTGGACCTATTTCGTATCTTTTTCTGTTGGACCTATTTCGTATCTTTTTCTGTTGGACCTATTTCGTATCTTTATCTGTTGGACCTATTTCGTATCTTTATCTGTTGGACCTATTTCGTATCTTTTTCTGTTGGACCTATTTCGTATCTTTATCTGTTGGACCTATTTCGTATCTTTATCTGTTGGACCTATTTCGTATCTTTATTTGTTGGACCTATTCCGTATCTTTATCTGTTGGACCTATTTCGTATCTTTATCTGTTGGACCTAAGATTCTCTCAGCACAGCGAAGGATTATCGAGATCTCCAAGGGGACCGAACGTCAGCCCACACGAGTGATAAAACGTCGATGGACCGAAGCGTGGCATTTGCAAAGGCGCTGAAGAAAATTGGGGGAGGTAGTATCTTAGGTTCCCCCGTGGAAGATACGGAATAGGCCCGGGAGGTTACATACGAAATTAAAATTTCACATTTTCATCATCACCAACACATGTAGTAGTTGATGACCATGTATATGTTTTCCTCAGCTGAGCTCAGGAGTTCACATACGAAGTTTACAAAAATCATAAAAAATTTTCTCCCAAAAATTGCCTCCCCAACTTTCGAGCTGTCACCAACACATATATTTTTTATGTGCAATTTTCCCACATAATTTTTCCGGGAAAATTATTATATTTTTTTGCGGTGTAAAACTCCTGAAAATTTCCTCAGATATTTTTTCATATTGTAACCATTAGTTCGAATTCGGAATCTTGGTAATCTTGGTAAATCTTGCATTTCCTCAACGGTGCTTTAGATCCTCGATATTTGACCAACCTGAATGCTCGGTGGGTGACAGGACCGCTTACGAAGGATGACTTGAGAGATATGGAAGTTGATACTATTGCAGACTGGATCGCGAAAGGTGACCTGATTTGTATCTTGTGCGGGGGAACCTAAGATATTTTTTGGTAGGTTCGTGTAGGAGGGGACAGTATAGTAAAGATGATGTTACGGTGTAGGGCGGAGCGAAGCGATTTTTGTTTGGCATTTTGTGTCTTGTCCGTAGTCCTGATGAGAATTTTGTGAAGGCTTATGAGGAAGCGGATTTTGAACTGATTGAGGAGATTGGTAATGTGTTTAGCGCGCGCCCGATTGATCGATTTGTGAATGTGGTAAGGTTTGGATGCGATTAAGGAGACGGACAAGTGGAAGAAAATGACGCCTTGTGCGCAGAAGGGGGTGTTGGTTCGATTTCAGCAGTAATAAAAAAGGCGGAGCGAAGTTTGATCGATTTGTATAATCGTTGGGAAACTGGGTAATTTATTCCGGTGTGAATTTTTCGCGCACGATTAGGTACCGGCAAAGTCGGGGACTTTCGACTGAGGGAATTACGGTGAGGACTTCGAAAAATAGGAGTCGGGGAAAGAAGAAGGTGCGGACCTGTTTTGAATCTTTTGTGGTTGAACCTTGGATACGCTTTAGAAATCTCAAGAGAATCAACAGTTAGTTGACGATGAAGAAACGGAGGTGGGAGGATTGAGCGGAGCGAAGTTTGATCGATTTCGCAATTTTTAGGTGAAACCGCCGATGGGAAAAACGGGATTTGATTTTGATTATTATCGGCGAGGGAAGGATAATGGGGGAGAATCTTGTATCTGGAGGTTGGTCCTGTTCTGGGCCTACTTTGAATCTTGCACGCTTGAACCTAAGATTCTCGGGGACGTGCTCCGACTTTAAGGATAAATTCAACAAGGCGCTGAGAGATGATGATATTGTGGATGCGGTGGGAAATACAAATCGATCGCGTGATCGATTATGAATATTTAGGGATTTGGCGCACTTCGGAGTTGTTTGAATCATCCGATGGGGTGCAACTGGTCGCGGAATAGAAATGGGAGAGGAGTGGTATGGAGGTCCCCACCGGGCAAAGATATGGCCGATATGAAAGTCTATAATACATATGTAATAAGGAGTGTTGGAGGAGGAATATATCGAATTTCCTCCCAGAATTTTGGTATTGTCATCAACGCATGTAGTTGATGACCATGTGTATATTTTCCTCAGCTGAGCCCAGGAGTTCACAGAATTTGTTAAAATTTCATTGGAATTTTCGTATTGTCACCAACACATGTTCACATGGAGAATCTTAGGTTGCTATTGGTAAGATACGGAATAGGTTCTTTGGAAGACCACTTGATCGATTTGTTGTTTTGTGTATGTTAGCATCCGAATCACCCTTGGAGAGGCTCAGGATCTAGAATATGGAGGGAAGGAAGACACGAAGGGTAGTAAAGAATTTGGGGGGGGGGGAGGTGGTAGCATGAAGTTGACATATATATTTACTAGGGAGCTCAGTCTCAAGAGTAGATCCTGGTTGAGGGCGTTTTTGTTGACATTTTATTATCAGACTAGCATTGAGTGTGATATAAATGGTGAAATATTTTAATAGTAGATCGGAATGTAACGTGAGAAAAGTTAACGTGATGGGTGTATGACAGCACACGAGTGTGCTTGTGTGTGCGTACACAACAGGGCGAGCGACATCAGGACGAGGCTGCCCTTGTTTGGAGCTCCTCTAGAGCGTGGGCCCACATGGGGACAGAATTTGTGTGCTGAAGCACTCGGCATATAGGGCTGCTCTAGGACGGTCGTGGAAGTTGATGAGAAAGAATCACTCAAAAATGATTTTATTTTATTTTTTTGTAAGAAGTAAAGGCGTTGAATATATTGATTTCTAAAACGGTTTGGTTTACCACAGTTTATAGGAATTTCGCGCAAGTAGTTTTGGAATTACTACGACACTGAGGAGGGTGTTGAAGCCATCTCTCTGTGGGTTCAGGTTTGTACCGAGATTCGGTCTGAGGGAGGACATGATCGAAGTGCGATATTATGAAGTCTCTCAGAGAGTTATACTCATTGGAAACAGCAATTGCCAGTTATATAAGGTCTTGGGCCTAATCTGTATCTTTTACGGGGGAACCTAAGATATTTTAGGATATGTCCAATCTGCTGGAAGTGGTTCTCGACGGTCCTGATCCGGCGCTGTATAAAACACTTCCTAGTAGTGAGGTTGCTGATGATGGCGATGTGTTAGCAGGGGTTATGGATGATGTCTCGGCGAGGAATGAATTGCAAGGGTGAATATCTTAGGTTCGAGCGAGTAAGATACGGATTAGGTCAGGTATCTGGACGAGTTGGAATCTGAATCTGAGGAGGAAGAGGAGGACTGAAGACGTTTTAGTTGTTGTGAAGAGTGTTGGGTTGAAGATGGGGAAGTTTTTGATTTTGAGAAATAACGTCCTTGTAGGGGTTTGATATTTTTGGGGGAAATGGTGTTGCTGAGGTGATGATTACATTTACGTGACAAATTGAAAATGAGTTTTGTGGTGGGATTAATATGAATATACGGGATTATAATACTAATAATATAATTATAGTTAATCATTATTAACTATATTTACAGTTTAGGGCGTGCGCTTTCTCTAGTAGTAGGCAGCCATAACACAGCGGGGCTTCGAGCATGATAGGTAGCTACAGTTGATTTGTCACTCACGATAGCCGTCTTGGCTCAAGTTTCCATTTTTCTCCTCTGCCTCGGCGCCATCGTCCTCATCGCAACACCACATCAGATATTGTCTAGTAAATCGAATTTTCTGTATTAATATACGAGATTATTATATTATAAAACAGTGGACCTGTTTTGTATCTTGTTGTCAGCAACCTAAGATTCTTTCCTCCTTAATATGAGCGGCACTATCGTTGAGAGGATTCGCGCGGACTGGGAGGATCTGGAGACGATTGAGAAAGCGGCATCGAGAGTGTTGGTGGATCAATCTATGAAGACTGGGAGTAGCCAAACTTCGAGGGTAGTAGTAGTGGTGTCGGGGGAAAAATTTCAGTGTTGGAAAATATGCACATGGTCAACTACATGTGTTGGTGAGAATTTTGGGAGGAAATTCTTGTTGGTTTTTGTATATTTCGTAGGTGAACTCCTGAGCTGAGGAAAGCGAACATATATTCCTCCGACGGTGTTAGTGATATCTTGAGTGTGTGGTTTAGTAAAGATTAGAAAGATTAGGAAAAATTAATTTTGTTCATTATTTTTCCTGGGTTTGAAATCGATCCGAATTGGTGCTATAGGCGGAAAATTTTCGGACGATTGTGGCGCGCGAAAAAAAGTTGTG